TCATGATTTATCTCATCTTTAACTTTTGACACGTCAATGCTCAATGCTATTACATGGAATCCCTTGTGTAATTTTTCATTAATTTTTTCTATAAAATTGTTCAATAAGTCTATAGTGCTTTTATTTTTGTGATGGTCAAAGTGATTTCTGTCTATTATTTGATATTTTTCCAAAACGTTGGTCAATTTTTATGATATGAATTTTTCGAATACTATACTTATTGTATTTAAAATGGAGATCGGCCCGTAGTTTTCATAGGCCAAGAAACTGTCTCCTTTATGTATCGGTCTGATTATAGATTCTTTTAATTTGTCTGGAAACGTTCCCTCATTAATGCTTAAGTTGATAGTAATTATAATTGGTGCTATTCAGTTAATGTTTTGTTTTATATCTTTTATAGATATTTTGTCTATTCCTGGAATGAGATTTCAGGCAGGAAAAGAGTGTTATTCTGTTGTTTTTTCAAGATTGCTATGTTACATTTACGTACGATATTTTTCATTTGCTTTTGACAAGTGATATAATGTGATGAAATGTGACAAATTCATAATAAGAGATCCACAATATTAAACAAAATGTCAAAGCAACCTGACAAAATTAATTAATATTTCCAGCTGAGAACATATTTGATGAACGATTTCTATTTCTGCAAAATTATTATTAGCTGCGTATTGGATGTATCTGCTATAGGTTTTTACTTTCTCGCTACCACTTGCGTAGTAGAGAGAAAGTCATGTCTTGCTGCAAATGTTAATTTTCGAAAGGAGGACTTATTTCAGACTCATGTTATCGAAAAAGTCGTTAAATTCAGTTACTAAATTCAGAAAAAAGTATTTTAACACGTGTTGTAGCCAGAATCCATATTTTGTGAGTCCTTGATACCGAAAAATCGATTGACGACAAAGCGTGTGTCCGTCCGTCTCTGAACAACGGTAGCGGCTAGACCGGTCAGCCTATTTCTTCCAACAGCGCTATCCCGCAATCCGTCTGGCTGATGTCGCGGACCGTTAAATTTGAAATTGATAATTTGATTTTGAGGGATACTTTACAAAAAAAATGGCTCCATCGTTTTTGATTCAATTTTGTTGTAGGATATTGTGAAGGACGTTTAAGAGACTGGTGCTGGTCTCATATTCGCTGAAAACTGATTTGTTCGAAAATTGCAAAAGTTCAATTTTTTTCTACACCTACAGTTATGAAGATTGAGATTTTTGCTCTTAATGAAATGTTCCATAAAGAGAGATTACCAAATAAGGTCATGTACAATTTTTCCAAAATGTGAGTACTCTTTGCTGCATTTTGCGTGAAGTATAGGTAATTTTTCATTTTTTATTTTATTTTATTTTTTTTTTTTTTCAAAAACGGCACCACCAATTGTGATTAAATTTCCATCTCTGATAGCGTATGGGACAATTAAGATAATCGCGCAAGTCTCATATTAGATGAAAATTCTGATTTTTGTAAATTCCAAAATTCAAAATCTTCCCAAAAAATTTCAAAATGTTCGGTGTCTTCCTGCTACTAGAATTATGAAGATATTTTTTAAAATTATGAAATATGTTCATGAAAAACAGATCTTCAAATAATGTGATGTTAAATTTGTGAAAAAATAGTATTTTTTACTAAATTGTTTTTCAAACACAGGCAATTTTTTTCTTTAAACTATTTTGTACTTTCTCGCTACCGCTTACTCAGTAGAGAGAAAGTTATGTAATGCTGCGCGAAAAAACGGAGTTTTCGGCAGAAAAATACTAATTACGGGGTCCAGGTAGCGAAAAAGTGAATAAATCCAGTTGCTAAATTTAGAAGAAAAAAACACGTGGTGTAGCCAAAATACATGTTTTGCGGGCCCTTGATAGTGAAAAATTGATTGACGACAAAACATATGTCCTTTTGTGACCAACGCTAGCGGCTAAACCCTGCTACCTATTTTCTCCAAAATTGATTTTCCCCAATTGGTCTGGCTGGTGTCGCGGCCCTCTGAATCTTAAATCGATATTTTAATTTTTGGGGAGTACTTGACATGAAGTCCGTGGGACATTTTCAAAAAATTGCTCCGTTTTTGATTAAGCTTTGTTATTGTATTGTGAAAAGTACGTTTAAGGTAATGACGCTGCTCTGTTCGTTAAAAAACCTGAATTTCCGAAAATTAAAAAAATTGACTTTTCTCGGCGACTTCCTACAGCTACGATTATGAAAATTACCATTTATTTCTTTATGAAAATAATGAGATCTAAAAATAATGCCATGTTCAATTCTTCAAAAACGAGCATTTTTTGCCAAATGTGTCAAATAAATAATTTTTATTTTCCTTCAACTATTTTTCTTTAAAACGGAACAATTTTTTATTAAATTTAGACCCTAGAAAGTGTAAGGGACCCTGAAGAGAATAGTACAGATCTCATGTTCGTCGAAGTGCCTGATTTTTCGAATACTTAAAAAAATCTGCATTTTCCTACAACTAAAATTGTGAAGATACATTTTTTTAATGAAATATGTTCATTAAAAACAGATCCTCAAATAAAATCATGTCGAATTTTTTTTAAACATATGAGTATTTTTTGTGTAATTTGGCGACAAACATAGTTACCCCCTGTGAGTTTACTGCCCTTCGTGAACATAATTCCAGGCATTGGGATGCTTCGTAAGTTAGAATTGGTATATTGCTTCGATTTTCTTGGTTAGTTTCTTACATTCAGGATTTTGTTATACATTTACAAATTAATATTTTAGAAATTATTTAAATCCTATTTGAAATATAACAAATAAAAATTGCTAGCCTTCAGGGAATATCAGATTGGAATACAACAATGGCTTGGGAACAATGACTCAAAAGCTCATTTCTGTGAATTACGCCTTTTTATTAAGACATGATTTATCTGTATGAAAAGCAGTTTTAATTGTCAAATTTGTGCTGATTGATGTGAATATATAGTTTTTGCAACAAATGTTCTACATTTGTAAAGAGTTTTACGAAAAAATGACTGAGATGTATTAATTCGGCGAGAATTTGTGGTGTAAATAGTATTATATAACTATTACTAAAGATGAGAAGCACGTATTATTTTAGAACTGCTAGTTTAAAAAACGGCATAAAATCTTTTGGTTAAAATTTGGACCCAAGATTGCTCAAAGGGTGCTTAAGAGAGTGGTGCAGGTCTCGCGTTTGTTGAAATGTGTGGTTTTTCGAATGAAGAAAGATAAAAGTGTTTGGCGTGTTCCTGCAACTACAATTGGTTAGAATTTTTTTTCTGAATGAAATATGTTCATCAAAACATCTTCAAATAAGGTAAAGTTTACTTTTTGAAAATATAAATATTTTTGGTGTATTTTTACGTCAAACATACCCGCTCTGAAATCTCTGCGCTTCGTGAACATACGTTGAGAGGTATTTGAAAGCTATTTATATTCTTATAAAAGAAAGGAGATTGAAACAAGGTTTTGCATTTAACTCAGAACTAACGTAGTACTTCTTTACTTGAAGAAATTTTGATCGCTGATTATGGGATGTTTCATTTGTAAAAGTTGGAAATTACTACTCTTCCTGGCTATCGAAATAAATGCAGGATGCGCTATAGGCGCTTCTTTTGAATTAGTTGGATTTGAATTATATTAGAATTATTTATAATACTTTACCTGGAAGAAAAAGTGAAAAAATTGTGTACAATAAATTTGTACGAACATTTTAACTTAAATTTCATATTACTACTTAATTGAGGAACAATGCAGCGATATAAATTTGATAAGATAAGATAATGAAATGTGAAATTCTTTTGAATTATTCTCTTTGTTGAACATTGGCATGCAACGATTATGAGGCTGTATTTTATTTATTTTTATATTTATTTAACGTCAAAAATAGAGAAAGTGAGTGTGACGTGCTATGGGGAGAAATGCATTCTAAGAAGTTTTTTTTTTTTTTTAATTCTGGTTTCCCTACTCTAATCCATACGCATGTTGAATTCTGAAAGTAGTCACGGACCGCGCGCCATCTTTCCTTCCTCTTTCTTGTCCTATCCTCATCGCTTACACACACACACGCGCGCGCACACACACACACACACACACACACACACACACAGTAAGAAGCACAACACTACCACACTGTCGTGAGCATAGAGCTTGTCCCGGCTGGGGCGGTGCCCTCTTGGTGAGAGATACCTGGTTGGGGAAACCCCGCTAGCCGACGGTAGGTCGCCATCCAGGGGGAGATCACCGCCATCATCCAGATCTCACCATCCAGGGGGAGATCCTAGCCAACGAGCGAGGGAAAACATATACTACACTTACGGGATTAACGACTTCCCTAGTTGACGCGCCCGGAATCACTAATAACCAACCAACCAACTAAAATCCTGATGGAATCGAAACATTTGTTTTTTGATTAGTAATCAGAATTTGGTGAAAATTTCTTAGGTGTGAAAACGTATAGAGCATTTAGCATTATATGTTCAGAAAAGGAGTAAGGTTTAATTCGTGTAATGTGGAATCTGATCATTTAAAAGAATATGTGACACTTAAGAATGAACTTAAAATATCTTGTAGACACCCAAAAATAATTTTATGATTTACTAGTTCTTGCTGTGTGTTTATAAACATGAAATAACAAATAACAGCATTGTCACTATCCTTGGTGGCCTTTCAGATTCATTATGCCCGCGCGGGCCTTTTGAATTCTTTATGCCCGCTCTAAACCCAATACAACAAATACATTTTTGTGAATTCGATTTATTAAAGATACAGTAAAATACTATAAATAAAAGACATGATGCTTGAATAAGTGAAATAACACGTTATATGAGTAAACCTTATTCTGCTTAATTGATATGCGGTATACGTAACCGTTAGTAAGGAGCGAGAAAGTATGTGCTGTTTCAGCTCCACTTTTATTTCCCATTTCAACAGGTATTTTAGCTAATGTTTTGTTATTTGTTCCTGCACGCTTGCTGTTTGTTCCTGGTTTTTTGTTTGTAGTGTTTAGTTTTGTTTTTAAATTACAGGACCCAGTGCTTCTGCGGTAATGATGAACCTCCGTCCACGTCACGTTTGCCTGATTCATCTTGCAATATGAAATGTCCTACTGATCCTCGAGATGCCTGTGGTGGTTATTTTACAATTAATGTCTATGAAACGGGGATTGCAAGTGAGTATTGTGTATCTTTTTATTTGTATTGCTACATTCATAAAATGTTAACAACACTAAGTTACGAGTTGTTCGCTTCCTTACAGTGGCGTTCAGTCAAATTGAGCTACCCTTAGTGCCTCCTATGATTACAAATATAAACCATAATAGTTTTCCCGCGCCAATGTCTCGGCCCGTGATTGTAGTCGGTAACAATAACCTATCTACAGAAGATAGCAGTCACTGAACAATGTTTCCGGCTAGACAGAGTAGAATCAAGGCTCAAAGCTAGGAATTTCACCAGTCATAATAATAGAGCCACTGTAGACATTTATAATGTAGTAGTACTTCCACTTATTTCGATTCTGTTTGAATTGTGATCGCATGATGTACACGTAGTTTTCTTATATTACATATTTTACTGAAATTTGTAGATGGGTCGTGCAAATCACCACTTATCTGAAACGACAGGGGACTTTTATCATGTGGGAAAAAGGTGAATTAATGAACAAAATTGCAAAAGAACTGCGTATTTCGCGAGTCCAGAATACAATTCACAAATGTACACAGACGAAGCAGATACCTGAAAATCGAGGCAGGCGGCGAAGAACGCCCCTACGAATGAATGGACGAATCTGCTTAGAAATTCAGAAGGATCCATTCCTGTCAGCACCTTGCTTGAAACAAAATAATGCTCAGGGTTATGGTGTTGAATTATCTACTTCAACTGTTCAGAGAAGATTACGAGCTTCACAGCTCAATGAACGTATTGCAAAATGAAAACCACGTATGTCAAAACGAAATATTGCGACCCAAGGGAAAGGAGGATTCTTGGCGGCACAATGTACTCTGGTCGGACTAATCCAGGGATAACAGATTTTCTTCTGATGGAAAGGTGTACGTGCAACGCCCTCCAAACGAGGAAAACAATCCCAGGTACATTTTAAGAACCGTGAAACGTGAGGTGGTAGAGTAATGGTGTGGGGATGTTTCTCGAGGTATCGTATGGGTCTGTTGTTCCGTATAAAGGAATCACGAACGCGGAGATATACCCACAAATATTAATGTCAACTGTGTTCCTTATGCTCGTGACGAAATGCCTTTCGTCTCTTTTATGCAAGACAACGACCGAAAACATACCGCAAAGTTAGTGAAGTCATTTCTTGAGAAGGAAAACGTGAGAGTTTTGGATTGGCCACTACAGTTCCCAGATACAAATCCAATTGAAGATTTGTGGGAAAGTGCTGATAGAAGGATTGGTCGATCTAAAGCAACTAATGTAAACCAACTGTGGAAAGAAATTCAAAAAGCATGGTATTCAACTCACGAAGAGGAATACAGACTTATGTGAGCTTATCGGGAAGAAGAAACCAGGCTGTACTAAAAAATAAAGGATACCCTACCAATTACTGACCCATTTATGATGGGGGAATGTTTTTTCCTGTATTTTGTGCTATTTTTCCAAATCGTTATATCAGATGGCTATTTTTTGACTTCTTGGAAAGGTAAATTTTTTAAAATTTTTCGTTATTTTGTAAAATAATTTGGGTCTGAATGACATGTAAAGGTTTATTTATGTTTCCATATTGAGTACAAAAGATATGCTATTTATTTATAAATAAAGGTTATTTGCAAAACAAATCCCTTAATTTATTTTTAATGTAATGGAGACTCAATTTTATTGACCGTATGTATGTTTTATTGACTATGTGTGTTGTTGAAAGAAAATTAAGTTCAAAAGATAATACAAAGCCTGCATAGTTTTGGAACAGATGTTGCAGTGTGTTTTCATATTGTGTTGCGATTTAATAGTTCCTTATATGTAATGGTAAGCAGTGAGTGATTTAACAGGACTGCATTTCTCGTCGAGGTGTGTCGGTTCACGTCCTGTCGGGGGATTGCAGAGACTTCTTTTGTGTGTTTTACTCTGTTTTGCTGTCGGCCGTCGGAGTTCTTGGCTGCCCCAAAATTATCTGAGATACCAGATATCCGGTTGCATACACAATGTGATTAATTTCAGCAATATCTAGATCTCTACCTGGGGCCTGTACCATCTCATTAAAGACACAGTTCGCTGTCTCTATCACTCTCTTAGCTTTGGCATTTTCGTATATTCTCCTCAACGATGCCCAAATTTGGAATGGAAGTAGACAAACTCTTTCTATCTCTTGTCGGAAGAGGTTCCGCATCATGTCCTTATTGTGTGATTGAGAGATGAAATTTCACTCCTGGCGTATATTTCACTGAGACGATATGAACCTTTAAGAGTACCAGGCTTCATGGTTCTAAATGTTCATGTGGATACTTCGATCGAAGAACATTCTCTGCATTTCTCTGCGCAGGTGGTTCTGCTGTTAATTTTTCACTGGCGAGTATGTATCGTCGTCTGGCAAGCTTCTTTGAATCTCATCTGGGCAGATCTCATCTGGGTTTAGCTCTTCAAAACGTCTATTTCTGAGCCTCAAATTTTCGCTTTTCCGTAGTAAAAGTACATCACCTCCTTTAATTCATCCCGTGTTCATTTCTGACGGTGGGTTTGAAGTTCTGCGGGCTCTGGGTCTCTGGGACTAACATCCGTTTGAGAGCCAGACGTCTACAAGATGACATGAGCTCGGTTTTTGAGCAGGTATGGGTGTTGTATGATAGACAAAGGGCGCCACCGTGCAAGCGCGCCAGAAACTACCGCGACGGCCTGACTGCAGGCCGCTCGACAGACACGCTGGACATCGGACACGATGCTACGCTCGTCTCCTGCTCATACTGTGTATTCCAAAGTTCGCTAAATAAACGCCATTCCGATTGAATATCGTTTGTCGTTATTCATACAACAATGGGACATTAGTAAAACAAGGCACGTTAAAATGTATTACATTTCTTGTACTAACCACATTGCTCATTGGTTTTAAGTAAAGATTCGCAGAAAGCGAGTTCGAGTTCACAGATCACACGTAATCCATGGGTTATTTCCTGACATCCGCGTTACTGTGACCCACAGTGGCCTCGGGACATCCTCCGCAGGGTCTAGTGAGGCTCATTCCGATTGCCAGTCGCCATTTCAGCATCCTTCGCTGGCTAATGCAAGGTTCGGGCCTCCACTCTAATTAGTGACCTGGTGCGCCAACCCAGTTTCTCTCTTGTACACTCCCTAGGCCGATAACAGGAAGTCCAAGGGTTCATGATCATTCCATCTCTACTTCCTTCTCACTCCCCTCAGAAGTACTTCGCCTGACACATCACCTTTAACCTATTTAGCAGTGGCTACGCTACCGCTGACATCTCTCAGGATCATTAGGTTACTGAAGCTCCAGCATCAACTACAAGATCGTGTGCTTCTAGGTGCAATTATTATTATTATTATTATTATTGTTATTATTATTGTTATTATTATATTTTGTTCGAGAATCGATCTCCTGAGAACCTCACAAACGTCCAACTGGTCAAACCAAGGCCTAGTCATATTCCTGAGGGCCAGTTCACGTGACTTCTTACTCATTGGGAATCGGTATTTCCGCTAATAATTCAATTTTAAACCCCAAGAGTGTTTGCCCTGGTGGATGAGATGTGAAATAATGATAAGGGTCAGTCCACGTCCTGACAGGAATGCAGGGCTCTCAAGTATTTCTTTCTTTCACCAGTCATCTTTATCTTCCCCCATCGTTCATTCTCGTTCTTTTCTAACGTCCTGTCTTTTTACGTCTACCCCTTCTATTTCACTGTCCCCTGTATGCCCGCCCCATGTGTTTGTCGTGCAAGGCGACTCATGTTGAAAGGAATGTATGTCGTGGTAGACGTTTGTTTCCCAACTACCCTGGTGCTACTTTTCACTTTGCACTTAGGGATACGTTGTTTGTATATTTTAGGGAACATTCCATGTAGGTTTTCAACACACTAGCTTTGGCCTTGGACATTTTTAGGCCCACTTAGTTAACTCACTCCCGATCAATTGGTTCGGACTGGATCTTCAACTGAACGGCGGTTTAGCGGGGGGTATCCACGAGAGGGCAACGCTGTATCATCCCCCACTACAACTCCGTGGTAACCCTGGCACTAAAGTGGAGTGTCCCTTTGTTTGGCTCCGTGGTGTGTGGGGACCACGAGGATGTATCTTACACTGAAGAGTCAACAAACTGGGACAGCGGCGCGTATTGAAATAAAGAGATTGGAACCTATCGGCAACGTCTATATAAGACAAGTAGTCGGGGTCCAGTTGATAGATCGGTTAATTATGCTACTATGGCAGGTTATCACGATTTAAGTGAGTTTGAACGTGAGGTTATCGTCGGCACAAGAGAGATGGGGCATAGCATCTCCGAGGTCGCGATGAAAGTTGTATTATCCCGAACGACCGTATCACGAGTGTACCGTGAATATCAGGAGTCCGGCAAAATACCACACCTCCGGCATCGCTGCCAGAATGGGGCCAACGACGACTGTGAGGAGAATCATTTCACGTGACAGAAGCGCATCCCTTCCGCAAATTGCTGCAGATTTCAATGCTGGGCCATCAACACGAGTCAGCGTACGAAGTATTCAGCGAGACATCGATATGGGGTTTCGGAGCCACAGGCCCAGTCGCGTCATCTTCATGACACTGGACTGTTGAAAGACCGGAAACATGTTGCCTTGTCTGACGAGTTTCGTTTCATATTGTTTCGAGCGGTTGGACGGATGCGAGTATGGGGACCTCATGAAGCCATGGATCCTGCATGTCAACAGGGGACTGTTCATGCTGGTGGAGGCTCTGTGATGCTCTGGGGCTTGTACTGTTAGTAATATATGACACCTCATACGTCTAGATACGACTGTGACAGGTGACACGTAAGCATAATGTTTGATCGTCTGTACCCATTCATGTCGATTATGCAACCCGACGGCCTTGGTCAATTCCAGCAGGACAATGCGACAGCACAAACGTCCAGAATTGCTACAGTATTACCCCAGAAATTTAGTCACTTTCACTCTCCACCAAAATTTCCAGACATCAATATTATTGCGTGTATCTGCGATGCCTTGGAGCGTGC